TAGATACTTGGGCCATTTTTATGAATTGTGATTATTATGAATATAGATAGATTAAACGATCTTTAAATAGTACGAAAAATCTTAATAATTTGAAAATATTATATAGTAGTTAAATTTAACTAAATATTTCCTATATCATGTTTTGAATAACTGCATTATATTGAAGAAAGAAAAGGGAAATCGTCTTAACTGTGACTGGTGATTGGTGAATCATCCTGCATAATGATTAATGATAAATGATAATATTTCCAATTACAAKCATCATATTATACGTTTTGTTTATTTCGTTTTTTGAATGTTTGTGAGTTGGTCGGTGACGTCATCGGAGTACCGACCTATTTTATTGTGAAGCTCGTCTAAAAATGAAAATTTACTAACGGAAAACTTGTTATCGTGGACGATTTGTTATTGAGGTTGACACATTAACATATTTATTATAACACGCTGTAAAATGAAATACACGAACAAAATACATTTTGGTTGTATTCAAAAAATACAGACTTGAAGATATCTTTCATAGAACATTCTCGACGTGAATTTTTGCTGTAATTTATTCTTCAGTTTTTTCCTAACTTTTTTATTTATTTTTTTATTATTATATCGTTTTTGTTGTTTTAGTTCACTCGAGAATATTTTAGTAGTGCACGGCGGTATCGGTTGTTCGTCCTGGCTGCATTCGTAGTACATTATTAATTAGCACTGCACTTGTTTTGAATAATAATAATAATAATGATAAATAATGAATCACTATTAATAACTATACGTACATTCCTTGCGAATATTACAACATTTTATTTCATTATCCTGTACACGCAATAATACATTAGATAATAGATGGATATTAATAAAAATACAACATAGTATTCAATATCATTGTTATTCATTTATATTTTTTGAACACTAATATAGTTTTCAATGCCCACATAGTGTCCTGGAAATATATCATTCCTYATTTACATAACTGATTGGATCTAGGGTAGTATTTAGGGGGTTCAGAAGGAACATTTCCATGGACGTAAACATTTTGGGTAGCTAAAATACTTCAAAAGAATTTCCAGATGATTTAGGAATATTATTTCCAAATGAAATCGTATATTTCATAAGACATTAAAAGTTATAAATTTAGATAGCACTAAAAGTCATACAAAAAAGTGTGTTTATTTAAGAGAAAGCATAGCTCTAAGGATGCTTCGATTATGATATGAATGGAAATAATATAATCAAACTAAATGATTAAATTGTATGAAAATTAGTTTATAGTTATATTTTATTCGTGTATTTAATATATATTATGAAGAAATGGAGCCGGAGCTTCAACATCAAGTTAATAAAATATCTCCGCTAATAGCATGACTGCATAATATAATCTTGAATAATATTAATATTAATTGTATAATAATATGAATATATTTTTTTATATTATTTCAAAACGGTCAAATAGTCTTAAATTGTTTATTTTAGAAATTAAATATGCCTAACAGTCTGAAAATAATGTATATGTGGCTATTTGATATGCTTTTAATAAGTAATTATTATTACTAAGTGATAGTTAATTATTAATTATCTATACTTAATACTTATATACCTACGTGAAATGTTCTGCAGGTAGAGGAGATCGAAGTYGACTCCACATAGTTGTTAGTTTGTTGGGCTGGCCAACTTATTAGAACTGATATTTGGTACTTATTTTATTTCTTATTATAAGATGGCAGGGTTTTCGATGCGACGCTCGTTTTATAAAATATAAATTTCATTTATTTTTTAATCTGAAATAGAAGTTCTAATTTTGAATTTTTAAGTTTTTTTTAAATTTTAAACTAAAATATTCCAATTATTTAAAAAAACGTTTCTTATTTTTTTTTTTTTTTTTTTTCTATTTTTTGTGTTGACAAAACGTGTCATCTAGCTTTTTTTTTTTAATTATCCCACCGCAACTAAGGCCATTGGGAAGGGGGTAGTACTGTAGGTTCTTATGGAACTGTAGGTTGGTTTTACACGTGGRTKAGAGTTTTTGGCAGAATTTCTATTGGGGCACCCGTAGGTTTCTGCCATACCCCGGAGTGGGGGATGGCG